GTTAATTGGCACACCCTTAGAAGAAGGGGTTTGTTAAATGAAGATAAACTTTAGACCAGCTGCTAAATTACATCATTAATTCATGGGGTCCAAGAACCCAAGTTGGTGAGGTTTTTATTTCAATTGAAGTTTGATCTTGGTTTTTTTATTTTCCCCTGAAGGCAGTTTATTTATTCCTGTAGGCATTCATTTATTGATTAAATGATATTAATGGAATGCATTGTTTGTTTCAGGCACTCAAGTTGTACCGACAGCCTAAGTTACCCTATAGGAGCTTAGCATCTGGGAGAGGAGGCCGACATGAGTTATAGTCCGGTAAGGCCTGCCCAGAGGCAGTAGGGGCTTGGAGGAGAGTCAAAGTAATCAGACTGGGTGAATCTGAAAATTTCCAGACGAATTCCAGAACGATTTCTAGAGACTGATTTGCACTTTGAAAATGGATTAGAGTGAGCAGAAACTGAAAGAAGGAAGACGATGACCACGACGAAGGAAAAAGCGGAAGGTGGGGGTGGAGACAGCAGTCCAGGCTGAGAGAACAGCGTGTTCAGAGGCAGAGGCGTGGAGGTGAGAAATGGCATGTTGCGTATGGGGACCTGAGCTTGGCCTTTGGAGATAAGCAGAGTGAAAATCATGGAAGGCTGTATTGTGCTGCCTCAGAAGCTTGAACTTGATCTTGAAGGTTATGGGGCACGTTTTGTAGGATTTTCAGCAGGAAAATGACATCATCACATGTGTGCTTTGGAACCATTCTTGTTTTAGTGTGGGGGGTGAATTGGATGCAGGCCCAGGGATCAATTAGCAGACCTTGTGTTGAGGTTGGGCAAGCAGTCCTTGAGTCAGTGCTAGCAGAGAGAATGGAGTTGTAGGTGGTTCACAGGAGGGTGAATCTGGAAGACTTAGTCAGTGAGCCAGAGATAGAACCCCAGGGACTCTGAGTTTCTGGCTAGGGTTGTCAGGGACGAGCTGGGCAGCAGGATGATGTGGGAAGGGTGTGGACTCTGTGTGCTTATTGGACTTCCAAGTGAGCTGTCTAGCAGGAGGCTGGATGTGTGGAGAGATGCCTGGGGGATAGAGAGAGAGTCATCAGCTCATACTGAGCGCTTGAAATCCCATGTTTGGATGAGGTCACCCTGGAATCGTGACAGGGCGAGAACTACAGCCGGATGGCTCCCAGGGCCGCTGCAGTGTTGACGGGAACGAGAAGGAAGAATTCAGCAGTTAGCACTCCAATCAAATCAAAGATTTCCAGGATTGAAAAAAATACTTGGAGCCTTAGCACCATAGTTAATTTTGAGTGTACATTTAAAATGCACAGCTGTGTTCTTAGAAAAAAATTTTTTCCAGCATGTCTTTAGAGTATGTATTGAATATGTCCTTCCCTACATAATGATTAGCTGTAATGAGTAATAATAATAATGGTAGAATCTGAGCCCTCGACCCATGGAGATGAGGAAGATAGATCCTTTAATTTGTCATTATGCCATCCATTCCTTTTACGGGTAATGTGAGGGGCCTGCTCTGAGCAAGTTCTATGAAATCCTGAGGTCACTTTGCTTCAGTTTTTGCTGAAAAATTACACTGTAGAATGTTTGCTACTGGGTTCTTAAATGAATAAATTATGCTTAAAAAAGATATACAACTGGTTTAGCGTTTGTGAATTGCTTATGGCCAACGCCTATGGGAAGGCCTCCATGCTTTGGATATATAAGCATTTTTCCCTCTATGTAATAATGCTTTACATTCTTATAGCACTTAATGACAAATTTCCTGGTGTGCTCACAGGTAGTTTATAATTTGATCCTGCTAACGAACAGCTGAGATAGGTGATAGGTTGGATGGGCATCATTCCTATTTTCCAGATGTAGAAACTGAGGCTCAGTGAGTAAGTTCATAATTTAGGAAGTAGGTGACTCAGAATTTACCCCTTGTCTTGTGGCCATAAATCCAGTACTTCTTCCCCAAAAAGGAACATGTTACTCAAAGTTTATGTGTTAATTCTTGGGCAATAGCAAACAAGTAGGAAGATAAAAAGCTCTGATTTTTTTTTTGAGAACTATTTGTCATTTCTACCATCAGCAATTAATAAATTAATAGTATGTTTTAAAAATCTACTTATTTACTTATTTTTTTAATTTTGGGAGGAGGAAATGAGGTTTATTTTTATTTATTTTCTTTAATGGAGGGACTGGGTATTGAACCTAGGACCTTATGCATGCTAAGCATGTGCTCTACCACTGAGCTTTATCCTCCCCTCGCCAATTAATAGTATGTTGAGTGGTCAAGGGGTCTGTGACGCTGTAGTAACCCTGAATTTTATAGTTTTAGTTCAGAAACCTTTTTTTTTTTTGGAATGACAAGTTTGTAGCGAATTGACAAATGGATTTCTTTGTCTTTTCATTTTGTTTAACCTGTGTGAAGGCCCACAATTTCAGTAACAGGTGGATGTCTTCTCCTGTTAATGTGGAAGATGGAGCTGTTGGAAATACTTAATTTCCTTGTGGTCTGCCTCTCCAGTGGAAAAATGGAGCTGCTGGCACCTTGTGAGGGAGCGTGGCTTCCATGTGACCTGATGACTAGGAGCCTTCTCCCTTGATCCTGCTTGCAGAGGACAAGATAACCTTGTCAGCTATTGTCAGCATCCTGCCCTGCTCAGAGTGTAGGACCCGGGGCCAACTTCTCCACCTGGCTCCGTGCCCAGCACCCAGACTGCTTTTAGGGGCCCATGAAAATGTTTGAATTTCTTGCAAAGTCAGAAGAATGAAATGAACCTTTATGTCAAAGAAAAGACTTTACTATATAATAATATATTATCTTTATGCCAGGGCAGTTGTAAAGTGTGATTTTTAATATTCTTTTGTGGAGGAAAGGGCCCATGAAGGTCAGACTGCAGCCCTGAATGTGTGGGGGCATTTGGAGGGTAGGGGTGGTCTACCGTTGCCTCTGGTCTTCTGTCCTATTCTTAACCTTTTGTCCTTTGGTTCATTGATTCATTGATACTTGATTCATTCCTTCTAAGACCTATGGGTATCTGAGAAGCACTCCAGCAAAATGAGTCACACACAGACACACACAGACGCACACACACACACACAGACACACACACACACACACAGACACACACACACACACACACACACACACAGGGTGCCTGGGTTCTGTTTCATTTCCACATCTGGGCAGGATCTACTTATCCTGACCCCATCACACTGTATGTAATGAGGAGCTCTTAACGATATACTTCACTTGAACAATTGTTTCGCTTGGACAATTGTTTTTAAAGTCCTGCTTGAAATGTAGAAAGCACTTTTAAGAAATAATGGCCAAAATGTTTAGAGCATTGCTATGTTGTGTCTTGTTTTTATGATCTCTCTGTCTTCCAAATGACTTTAAAAACACATAATGAAAAGATGTTAAAATAAGACTTTTGGGAATATTAACTTGTAATCCCTGTCTGTAAATGGAGGTCGAGCATTGGGCAGAGGTCGTCGATGCAAGAGCGAGGCGTTGCTTTAGAAGGTGAGACTTGATAGGTGGCAAAAGCTATTTAAAGGAATGTGGACTCTTTTTCTCCTTTTCTCTTAATCTTATGTCCTGGAAATTCTCATTTGATTATCTGCATAACAGAATGGAGATGCTCTGTCCAGAAAACCCCATGATCTTTCTTCCTCTCCTGCTCTAGAGCGTTGATGTCCCACTTCTCAGATGTGCCTCAGCAAATCGGGAAGGCCTCAAATTTCAGCCCCGAAGCCGGTTTTTTGTTTTTTTTAAAGAAAGAGTTAAAATATTTAAAAATGAAATTCAATTAGCAAATTTATAATCATCAAGTGAGTAAATGATACTTTTAAAGTTTATTGTGCCACAGGGAACTACGTTCAATATCTTGTAATAACCTTTAATGAAAAAGAATATGAAAACGAATATATATATGTATATGCATGGCTGGGACATTGTGCTGTGCACCAGAAATGGACACATTATAACTGATTGTACTTCAAGTTAAAAAATAACTAACTAAATAAATATAGTTTATTGTGCCAAACCTAACACTTTTTTGTTGTACCTGTTTTCATATTTTAAAACTAAGCTAATTCAGTAAAGAGCACTTTTTAAAAAATAGTATATTTTAAACTTTACTCTGTATTTCCTATTCTTATTATCTTTAAAAGGGAACAAAATGATCTACTTTGTATTTTTTTAAACTTCTCTAACTTTTAGCTATCTCATGAAATTGTTATGACGATGAAACGATTTAGTATATGGGAAAGTAGATTTAAAAAATAGAAGTGTGTCAAAGGTGCTCATCTTTCTGGTCCTAAGTTAGTGCTGCTGCTTCTCAGAAAGCTGGGGTGCACAAAGTCATTTCCAGCGCTCACGGCTTGCTTTTCATATAACCTTTGCCACTCTCTCTTATTTGTGTTCTAGCAAGTGGTTTATCAGGCAGGACTGAAGTTTTAATTCAGAGAGTTGAAGAAAGTAAGAAATAATCGCTGTTAAAACTTGATGAAAAATGTGAGCCTATTTTTCATGCTTAAAAATTAAAAATCAGGGGGAGGGTATAGCTCAGTGGTAGAGCGCAGGCTTGGCATGCATGAGGTCCTGGGTCAACCCCCAGGACCTCCATTAAACAAACAAACAAATAAACAAATAAACCTGATTACCCCCCAAAAGAGAAAAGAGAAATAAAAATTAAAAAATAAAAACATTAAAACAAAATTAAGATAGTTTTAGAGTATCCTTTCTCATTGTCTTCACATAACCTGTAAAACTGTCCCAAAGCACACCCAGCTCAGTTTTGCGTTATTCTAAAAATTCCATTTCTGGCAACAGTGTTTTTTGGACTTCCTGTGGTGCCTGATTCATTAACTTTACTTCTTGTTTTTTTAAAAGATTGCAACCATTAAAGCTAATTTCAGTTTTATTCCAGCCCCTTCATTTCTTCCAGCTTCTTCCAGCTGCATGCAGTTCTGAAACACGTTTCTCTGTTTGCGATGCCCTTACAGGAATTTGTAAGTGTCTGGGTTCGAGATCCTCGGATTCAGAAGGAGGACTTCTGGCATTCTTATATTGACTATGAGATCTGTATTCATGTAAGTATGCCGTCAATAGTCCAGAGAAGTCACAGTCATTTTTAGGTAGCATACATTTGGTGTGATACTATGATATAATTGAAATTTATAAATAATTTTCCAATTCACAGGACTGAATTTGAATGATTACAACTAATGCTTGTCTCTTAAATGAAGTAGTACGATGATTCCGAAGTTGAAAAATTAACTTATTTGAATTCCTTATTGTACCGTTGTTAATATTAATGTTTTAATGTTTATTGCCTTCATATATGAAGATGTGAATACATCTAAAATTCACAGTTTTTATAGCTCATTAATGATATTTCTTTATGATCTGTTGTAGCATATTTCTGGACACTGTATTACCTGATGAATCTTAAGTTTTGAGAGGATATAGAGTTCTTTGGAAAAAGAGATGTGCCGTGTTTTTTACGTAGAACAAGAAAGTAGGAAATGGCTCTGTGCGATTATTTTACCTTAGCCTAGATTCTGGTTAATTATGATAAGTAAATAACTAAAAATGACTTATTTTATTTGGAAAAATACTGTATTGTAGTCTCTTGAACAGTGTCATGTGGTGTGTGGCCTCCTTTAATTATTTTGAGTAAGAATCAGCAATCTTCTCCTGAAAAGGGCCAGATAGTCAATGTCTTCAGCTTTGTGGGCCATATGGACTCAAAACTACTCAGTTCTGCTGTTATAGGGCGCAAACAGCCATAACAGCACATAAATGAATGAGCATAATTGTGTCCCGATAAAAATGTGCTTATAAAGACAAGTGGTGATCTGAATTTGGCCCAAGGGCTGCAAATAGTTTATTGGCCTTTGATCATGAAGATCGTCACTTCTTCTGTCTGATTTAGTCCAGACTTGAGAGCATAGAAATGGGCTCAGATTTTATCTGTGACTATATATATAGCACAAATGGGACAGAGTTTAACCATCCTTTAAGCTTCCCATTGTTAATATAGCTAAATTGGTATATTAGTCACCCAAATACCACCCACAAATTTCTCTATTTTTTTTCTCTCCTTCTGAAGTTCCCCAACTTAGAAAATAAAGTAAAAACTCAGAACTGCTTTCGTGATGATTGTATTGTACAGGGATATGCCTTGTATTTCGATTTTGTTTTGGTTTTACTCATAACGTCACACCAGATGTACATTCTGTGTGGAAAATTATAACATGGGTATGTAAAACTAAGCATTTGAAAATGAAATGAAATTCTTTAGTTGCCTTTTAACTTCCTCTTAAAAAATGTGTGGGTGATGGTACATTTTAGAGGAGATATGACATTGAATTATCCTCAGGGAGTTAATGGAAGTCTAGAGCCTTCTCTCCTACATAAATAATATGATGTGAATTCAGAAGTGTCCATCTAGACCCAGAAATGATGGGTTCCGCAAATATTATTTGGCGGTGCTCTGAAGTGCTAATAAATTGACAACCAATAAATCTGGGCTTGATAGGTAGCAGAAACAAGCCAAAAGATTTCGAAGAATTTCAAGTAGTGATCGCCATGTCATTTGATCCCAAGGAGGCTTCAACCTGCTGCATGGTTAGGGCTGGCTGGGGAGCCGGCAGAGTTCTC